AGACTTATTTCGCTGTGCTCATATACAGACTAATTTCGCTGTGCTCATATACAGACTAATTTCGCTGTGATCATATACAGACTTATTTTGCTGTGATCATATACAGACTTATTTCGCTGTGATCATATACATACTTATTTCGCTGTGATCATATACAGACTAATTTCGCTGTGATCATATTCAGCCTTCGCTGTGATCATATATCACCTTATTTCGCTGTGATCATATTCAGCCTTCGCTGTGATCATATTCAGAATACTTTCGCTGTGATCATATGCAGACTAATTTCGCTGTGCTCATATACAGACTAATTACGCTGTGATCATATAAAGACTTATTTCGCTGTGCTCATGTACAGACTTATTTCGCTGTGCTCATGTACAGACTTATTTCGCTGAGATCATATACATACTTATTTCGTTGTTATCATATACAGACTTATTTCGCTGTGATCATATACAGACTTATTTCGCTGTGATCATATACAGCCTAATTTCGCTGTGATCATATACAGACTTCGCTGTGATCATATTCAGACTTCGCTGTGATCATATACAGACTAATTTCGCTGTGATCATATACAGACTTCGCTGTGATCATATACAGACTAATTTCGCTGTGATCATATACAGTCTTATTTCGCTGTGATCATATACAGACTTATTTCGTTGTGATCATATACAGACTTATTTCCAACTTACATATACTCGGTTACAGACTTCCCTCCGTCTCCACAGACTACTTTCATATACAGTTGGGAAATGGCGTAGGGTATTCTAGGCGGCTCGAATGGTATAAGCTACAATGAAAATGAAAATGTAATTCTGGTGTTTGTATGCGTTTGAGTCAAAAGCTCAGGGTATGGATACTTGTGAAGATTTTAATATCGGGCGAGATAAGTAACGAAACAAAGAAAAGACTGACATCAAATCCAATACGCCGAAGAGATAAAACGTTACCATAACACACACTTGTTGGTAATGAGGACAAAACACGTATTGATAGCTCAATGGAATTTATGGTGGACAAAAAGCATTTCAATATGAAAGAGCGATAGTTGAGAACCGAAACTTTTAACATTATCCATGAATGTTTAATACGATAAACCCTGTTTCCAGTGGAATTTTGAGTTTGTGACCATCTAGTCGGCATAAACATAACGCCCGCTCAGTTTGTAATCAGGTAAGCAAAACTAACACATAAAGTCGCTTTACCTATGTTTTTTAAGATCAAAGCAATTGGTTGATATAATTATGAAGAAAGGAATTGGTAAACAATACTTATATATATGCAAACCTATGGTTGCAATAAAAGAAAAAATACCCCAGTAAATGTGAAGCAAACAAGACAGAAGCAGAGTATTTACCTTTGGTTTAAGGGCCAAGCAGTTATCAGTGATAAAACATGTGTTTAATAATGCAAATTAGCCATCTATCAATTTAATTATTATGTCCAGTTTACAACCCCACCCAACCAACTAGTACCGTATGTCCTTTCTGTTCCAGCGCCTCCTTTGTGATGAGGACTGCCCGCGTGCACGCCGGGACAGGGTCCACATACCCGTGGCTGGTGTAATACCCGATACGGAGACGTCTGGTGTCAGCGTACTCCTGAAAAACACAATTACTCAAGGTGGAAATTACATCATTTCTTTTCAAATTAAACACTGTAGTTTTGTTTTTGATAAAAATGATCAAATCAACTATGGATTTTATCCACTTTAGGATAGCCGCGAATATATCAAAAGATACACTTATTTTCTTAAATAGTACCATTTGTTGATAATTAAAAATATCAAAACTAAGTAAAAGGTTGCATCAGTTAACCATAATGAGGACGTCAAAGTATTTGGATTTTTACCTAGATTTAAATGGTGATTGGCGTCGATGTAGCAAAACACGCTTACCCTTCCGAAACACCTGGTCTTTTTATCCTTATACTTTTTCAGGGTTGTCCATGTAAATCGTTCCTTTGTTCATTTTTTGTCCTAGTTGTATCGATTCGAATTACGGTTTCATTGACAATAAGGTATTCTTTTAGTATGTGTATCCTATTTATAGCTACAAACCTTATCTTGAAATGGAATCGGCGGTACAGACGGGTCCAGTTTGAAATGAAGGGGAGACAGGAGAGCTTTCATCAATAGTACCACGCCATCCACGTCACGGGCCATCGGACCTCCCACTGCGCTTACTGAATGGAACAAATACGCTTTACTGCATGGAACAGTACGAACAATGATGTAGATATGTTATCATAATTTTAATGTATAATATTATGTCTTATGTTGTATAATGAATGAAACTATATCTAAAATCATGCATGAATTAAATAATATCAGATAGTATATAATGAATCAAATACATTGTAATATTGTGTTAGGAATAAAATCGTAAGTCGAATTATGTATTGAATGAAATCACATCTTTCAATATGCAATTAATAAAAACTTAAGTGATAGTGTACTGATAGGAATCATTTTACAGTGCGTACACTTACCAATATTTTGATGCGATGAGAAACTTAGCATCCCCTTTGTACTGCAAATTTGAACAACATTTTATTTTTATTGTTTGTAATACTTCTTACTATTTGTTAAAGAATGAATAAGCGAGTCAACCATTCCAAGATTTATTATTATTTTCTATTCCTGAATGAAATCGATTCGAAGAAGACTAATTTAGATTTAAACAATCTTGCTCAAAGAAGTCGCAATGAGATCTTCATATTACATGTATTTTGATGTTTTGTAATATAAATTTTACAACGTTACTTGGATTTTGTGGAATGCTTTCCTTCCGATGATGTGTACAATTCTTGACATCAACTAATTTGAAGCGTACCTTAATCTTCCATGAGTTGGCTTCAGTCCTGTAACACCACAGAAATGACAAGGTATCCGCACGCTTCCAGCAATATCTGATCCAAGTCCTAAAATGGAGGCTTCTGAAGCGAGGATCGCCCCTTCCCCACCGGACGAACCCCCGGGGGTACGGGTAGGGTCGTGAGGGTTGAGGGTCTTACCGTAGATAGGGTTGGAACAGTCGAAACTATAGAAAATAAAAAAAGAATAGCAAACAAACTAGGAATAAAAAATAAGTTTTCAATAGGATTTCAATAAATTTATAATGTCCAACGTTCTCACCTAATTATAGCACTATAAACATATATAGCTACGTATAATGTCCAACGTTCTCAACTAATTATAGCACTATAAACACATATAACTACATGTACAAATAAACCATATTCTGGCATTTTATTGGGGTGTTCAAATTAAGTGATTTTTAGTGGATAGCAACATATAATGTACATTGAGAGAACCAGTTTTCCATCAGGAGAAATTGCGATCGGAGGAGAGATAAGTATACTTTAACTGTTCATTCCATACGCATCTCGACATTGTCTGTTGGACAACTGTTCATTCCACATGTATCTCAACATTGTCTGTGGGACATCGGAGGAGAGATCATTGTACATTGAGTGTTCATTCCATATTAACCTCAACATTGTCTGTGGGACATCGGAGGAGAGATAATTGTATGTTAACTGTTTATTCGATATTTACCTCAACATTGTCTGTGGGATATTGGTTCTTACAAAAGGAACAGCCCCCTGGTCCTTCAGCACCTACAGAATAACACTACAGAATAACAATCAAAGATGACATCAGAAATGCGAAGGTCAGGTTAAACAACCCTCACACCATTATGTCAAAACGCCCGACATAATTCAAAGTTTTATAATGGTTTGTGCCTTTATACCGCAGTACTAGAGGATATTACTGGAATCTTTTGTTTTAGTTATACGTATACGGTGAAAACTCGTTATATTTTTAGCGTTCTTTGTCCGGCCGAATTATAACGTTTCAAAGGGGTATGGCATTGTATGGATAGAGTATTGTAAAGGAATAATCAGGAATTAAAGGACAGCAATCCTTGCAATACGCTGGCGGTAGCCGAGGCGGCAAATGAAACAAAGAACAGTATCCTAGTCTGGGTCTAGGTTTTATTCTATAAAATAATAAAATAATAATATACAACATTTATATAGCGCCCTATATAATTTGTAAAATTATTCTAAAGCGCTTAACAACATATGGATAATAGTAATGGTTATAATTGTGAAAACAAAAAACAAAGGCTAACAATCACTTTTATACATTTAAGCAAGCAATATGCACATGATTGAACAAATAAAAGGGTGGTATTTACATAACGTCTTTGCAAAGATTCTAAAATGCAGACGTGAAGAGGAGAGTTTTGATGTCCCTCTTGAACTTGGCTAGGGTATTGGACTTTCTAATTGCAGATGGTTAGCTATTCCACAACGTAGCCGAAACCCTTCCAAAGCATCTGTTTCCGTAGGTCACAGTACGAGATTTTGGGACACACAACAAAGATTCTGACTCCGACCGCAGTGATCGTGACGGCTGATACAGGGTAACAAGCTCCTGTATGTACTGAGGAGCTGTTCAATTCAGTGCCTTGCATGTGTACACCAGAATTTTGTACTGCGACCTGTATCGTACAGGTAAACAGCGCAACGAATAGAGCACAGGTGTGATGTGCTCTCTCTTTCGAGTACGAGTAACTAGCAGTGCTGCAGTATTCTGGACCCTCTGCAGACGACTAGTTAGTTTGTCAGATATACCACAGAGCAGGGCGTTACCATAATCCAACCGAGAGGTAACAAGTGAATGCACCAAAATCTTGCATGCATCTGCAGTTAAAAACTGCCGAATACAGACGATGCTACTGATCTGGTAGTAACAGGATTTGGCAATAGCGTTCACTTGTTTCCCAAGTGATACAATGTATAAAAGGTGTAAAATGAAACTTATATAAAAGGTGTTAAATGAAACTCGTTGCATCATAAAGAGATATTTTGTCAGTGTGGGATTTTACGGTAGAGGGTGTACTTACCTGGACGAGTACGGCGTCCTCACGTGCCAGTTTTCCTATCAATGACGCACATCCGCCGGTGGTATCCTGACCCTATCGACAATAAAAGCACACGCTGATTAGATGCAATTCAAAAGAAAAAAAAAAAATCTTGATGATCTAAAACAGCTGATCCCACATCTTCGTGTTTCCTTACTGATAACCAAGGATTTAAATATGGTAGCAGAAGTAAAATAGTCGTAGACTATTGGTATGACGCCGACAACGGTGAGTTAAAATAACATGCCTTCGACTTCGGGTTTTTTCATTGGTCAAGCTACGAACATGGCTGACTATACACTCAATGGAAAAGTTCATCGCAACGAACTCATAAAATCGATGTGATTTATTTCATGTTCGTTATCGATACACATAAATGAATTTATTAAAACATAATGTGCTATGAAGAAGAATTTGTTTCTGCATTATTCTTCAAACTAATAAAATCATACTAATGATTAAAACGGGTTTAAGAATCATTGTTTTAGGGGGAAAATATAACAGGATTAACAGCCTGTTCCTCGATACAACATCGTCTGTGTAAGTTATATACAAAAGACAGAAGGTTTATGTGAAAATAGATAATTGAAGTAATAAACTGTCACTCGAATTGAAATCTTTACTTAGCTATGCTGTAATAACGACTAACTATCTCGTAATAACGCAATAGCTACATTTGACATGTATATATAACGAAAAACTATGTCGTTAGTAAGTCGTTATTACGACATAGCTATGCCGTTATTAAGAGATAGTTACTCGTTATTACGACATATTTAAGTCGTTAATACATGTATGAGATAATAAGTCGTCATTACGACATACTTCAGTCGTTACTACGACATAGCTAAGTCATTACTATGAGATAGTTAGTCGTTACAACGACATAGCATTTTTTTTCTCGCCGGCCCGTACCGGCTTCCGTATTAAACCGAGTTACGCATACATTATGAATATAGTTGTGAGAATTCTCGCGGTTGTACATGAATCAATAGTCCTGAGTGTTAACCTACCTTAAAATTAAAGCTTTCTTTGACACTAATTGGAATTCCATGTAATTTTTTTTTATTGTCCTGTTGTTGATCACGTGCCTCCGCTAAGTCCTGTAAATACAAAAATGTTCCTGTTACCTACAGCTGAATACAGGTACATGCAAAGTACAGGGGATTACATTTAGAATGCAATACAAGGAATAAAAGAAGCATATATATTACTTAGATCATTATTTATTGAACGTTAAACGAAGGTGTATTGTATAGCAAGGCGATGTCATGTGAAAACACCTGAAAACAACTGAAGAACCTCGAATTATTATTATTATTATTATTAATTTGTACCATGTTTCTCTGAGACCAATGGATGTGAACTAACCCTTGCTTCCAGAATAGGTTCCAAAATGAAATTGAATCTGTCGTTCTCCTGAATCGCCTGAAACATGTAAAATACAACAACAGTCATTTAGATATCTGGTCAAACTGTGAACACAACAAAAAGGACTGACATGCAACGAAGACTAAATACAATTTCAGAGAAAGAGTCATGCTTTCACGTTGAGTACCCGATTTAATTTCACATATACGCATCTCATGTCAAAATAGCAAAATTTAACAATCGGTATAATAATGAACTGGTTTGTTTGTGTTTTTCTTCCTTAATAACTTTGGATCCAGCGGCCAGGTACAAACCACCAACCAGCTGCCAGTACCTGGTGACTGCCTCACTTACTTTTTTCTGGTATGTCTGGAGAACGTCGACAGCTTTTACTTTTCCGGCCTGTAGAGCAGTTTGGAGTTGCACTGCTGTCATGTTTAAAATGTCGGCAGACAGCTTACCATCCACCTGTGAACATGGTATGCATTAAAATACAAATGATGACGGCTTCATCTGTTACATGTTCTTATTTCAAAGAACTAATGTGTACTTACTTACTGACATGTAACCCTCCTTGTAACATGTTGTACAGTTATTGAGTAATGAATGCAATCAAGTATGACTTCCATTAAGATGGATGGCTGTCATGAACGTTGCAGATTGAATTGAATCCCTTGCTGTTGAACTATGCATCTACATTAGAGCGAGTTTTTTGTCGAATAAGTGACTTTTGGTTATTAGCCTAAATATTTAGATCTCTTTACATTAAGTTTGGTATTCAGCGTGTTGCTTAAAAACTACAATAGTATCACAATAAACAGAATCAATTAACAAATCACCGTAACATAATTTTCTGTATTACAGACAACGTCACTCATTTTTGCTTGTAGATATTGTAAACAAATTATCAGATAATCGGATTTCAACAGATTCAGCGCACTCACAAATTATGCAATAAGTGATAATACATTAGCAGAAACGTCGATGAACGCTATCATAACTTCAGTACAATAATGAGAGTACCAAAAGTGCTAAAGGAAAACAATCGCTGAAGTATGTACACTGACAGTAATGTTTAAATAAATGCCAATGGCCAGGAGAGGATTACCTGTTGTTCGTTCACTTGTGTACGCACACGTTCCATCGCCATTTGTGCTTTCTCTTTTCTTTTTCGGATAACCTGTCTGACAATATAACGTCGGTAAGCCCCTTCCAGGTACATCAGAGCAGTGCCTCCAGTCGTAAACAAAACCACATATTTCACCCACATAGGTACCGTGGTAGCGTCAACAAGTCCGGACATCGTTTCAAGCGGGACGAACAATTAGAATTCACTGAAGAAAATAAATATACAGGCGGAGTAGTTACCATATACACGAAGTGACATATAAGTTTTGTATGAAACAACAATGATGAGAGATATAGGATATTCCTCGTAAATATCAAAATGGCGTTTCTCTGATTGGAAACAATGAAATAATAGTGGATCAAGAAGGCAATCCTCTGAAACCAACAACACTTCCAACAACACTTCCGACAACAATCCCTACCCAACAATAACCAACCTCACAATAAACTGTTGTAGTATTAGGGTAAACCAGTCGGCGTTTACAGCGGCCATCGGATATACTAAGTTGTGGCTTAAGGGTTTCAAACTAGGAACCCTATCTCACTTTCGCTCTCTACACCCCTGGAATATGTCATAGCAAAATTGAAGGCACGAAGATAGCTGTTTGATTGGTCTCAGGTAAAAAAAACACTGACCAATCGCTGGGCTGATACCTGTCGATTTAAGATTACAAAGTAGAGACGCCCGACTTCAAAGCTTGTCAATTTTTACCGTTACGTGACCGCGATATTCTTTTGATGTACATCAAAGGATCGAACTAGTCCTCGTCACCAACAAGCCTTCAATTTTGCTATGACATATTTCATGGGTGCAGAGAGCGAAAGTGAGCGTAGCCTCTGGATATCGAGGATGAAGTGAGCGTAACCGACATCAGTTACGTGGTACCATGCTATGCTAGTTACGGTACTGATGTTCTCCCACACGTAGTCATACGGAAGCCTTGTAAATATTGCCGTTACACGAAAGCAAATTGGGAAGATATCAAGTCAGGGCATTCCAGCATAAGTGTAAACGTGAATTCAAAATGGCCGAAATATCATACATTAACTACATCATAGAGGAAGGCCCGAGAGAAAACAACACCAAACAATTCTGGCGCTTCGTGAAGTAAAAAAGACAGATAAACCTAGGAGTCTATCCCCATCCCCTTTCTGAAACTAAACGAAGCACTCCAGAACAACAGTGCCGATAAAGCCCGAACAGTGCCGATAAAGCCCGAACAGTGCCGATAAAGCCCGAACAGTGCCGATAAAGCCCGAATCCTACTGGACCACTATTTGTCTGTGTTTACTACTGACACAACTGCATCAGCCAGTGCAGCATCCACGGCCAAGTACACATAACAACCAATAGTTATATCAGAGAAAGTAGTAACTAAACTACTCTCCAAATTCCAGATCCACAAGACCATGGGACCGCATGGCTTTCCAAACCAGATTATCAAGACTTGTGCAGACGAATTGGCACCTGCTCCAACGCATATATTGAAGCGTTCTGTAGAATCCGGTCAACTACCACGTGACTGAACGAGTGCAAACGTCTCACCTATCTACTTAATTTCAAAAGATCTCTCACCCTCCAAAGCTACTTTATACCTTGCACCCCCCCCTACCCCTCCGACGCAGTACATGAACATATTAGCATGGACCATGCGCCGTTTATACACAGATAGATACAACAGTTAAGGTTGACAAAATTGTATATATAAATGTAACAATGCAAAGTGAATTTGATATCACTTGTTGTTTCATAGATTGTCCACATATGTACAAAGTATGTATGTACACATGGGGTCTCTTTTGGCTGTGACTCATATAGCTCATATATATATTGTCATGATACAACTCTTCTGAAAGGGAATCAGAGTGTACTGCAACATTTTCTGTAACCCTGACAAAACTAAGACGAACTCTCACAGACAATGGCAAAGATAATAATGTTTGTCCCAGTTTCTAATTAAACAGCTAGGAGCTCACGTTCTATCAAATAGAGCTGAATTTGTCTTCAGTGAATACCCTGTAACAAACTAGAAACACATATTTTAAATCTTAGTTACAGTGTATAATAAATAAATAATAACATTTTCCTTCAACGTATCCTGTTCCTTACCTCGAATTCTCCAATTGTTTCTCGATAAGAGTTAATGACAAGGTCGGGTAGATAACTTAATCTTGTTCAACCAGACGCTTGATAACTTTTAATTCAAGAGGCTGGTCAAACACAGGACTTTAAAATTACCATCACCAGAGGGCATTGTTTTTGTTTTTATTTTACTTTCGTTTCCGGACGTTTTGTCAACGCCGTTAAAACATTCACTTTTATCGAGAAAAATGTAAGAAAATGTGTCAAATCTCCAGAATAATGCCATATATTTCTACTGAATAGATCATAACTGAGCACAAAGCTAACAAGGCTGACTGAGGTTGGGAAAAACATGCGAAGCAAGTGAGCTTTTACCTGTACACCATTCAAAACACTACAGGTTATCACTCAGGTAATCTGGCTTGACTTGTATCAATAGCCTCGTAAATTTCATGAATTATTGTAAAATATTGCAATCATTCTTGAGGTTTTAAGTATTTTCTTACATTCTTTTCTTGATAATAGTGAAAACACGGATACTTTAGGAATGCATGTACAGGGAAATTATCATGAATTAAAATATTCAATGCAATTTTGCACCACTCAAATTCTGACTTCAAAAGTTGAAAAAGGATGTGTCTACCTTTTACCAATGAAATCATTTACCAGAATTCTGGTAAGCCTCATTCTGACGTAACAAAACGATATCGTAGACTTTAACCAGACTCACTGTTCGGCGTAGCTTGCGCAGACAACAAGAGTCTGGTTGAACGAGACTAGTAAATAACTCGGCTCCACAAGGTCAGGTCAGGTAAGCGAATGGACTCGTATATAGCGTGTCAACGCCTCACAAGCATAGAATGTCCAATACTACCAACAATTAGACATGTGGCTAAACGTTGTATAGAGACCGTTTACTAAGTAAACTGTTAGACGTAATCACTGTATAATGACAATTTACCAACTGAGCATGATATTACTACTGTACAGGGGCAATAAGAAATGAATACAAAAGTAAAGTGGAACAAGCATATAGTTCAAACTGGATACTACTAGGGCAAATTTAAACATGTGATACGGGAACTCAAGAGAAGTTGTTAGTGTATAGCGACATTCTTCTTTACAAGGACTTGTTAGTTTACAGTCATTGTCCACTTAGAAACAAGACATTGTCACTATAGATAAGCAAACAAGCATTATCACTATACAGTGTCAATCTAATGTGTAAAGTAGCAACTGTTATGTACAGCGACAATCAACTAAGTAAAGGCGACATTATCAGTGTTTATTCATGTTTATTCAACTCTTCGGTCTACTGAAAGTTGATGATCTTGCTGAAGCACGTACATCTGGTATCGAAGATTTGATAGAGAAACATGACAAAAGTTATTGCAACAACACCACTACTTTTCTGTACAATGAAAGGGATAAACAGAAGCACAGAAAGGCAGATAGGAGGTGCAGTGGTGCAGACTAAATTAACCATCCGTCGGCAGACGAACGGCTTGTTAAAGTTAGAAGACATGTAGTTTAACTGCAGAAGCTGTTACAAGACACAACTAACCCTCCAAAACATCAGTATTTCTTATGCGAGACAAATGAACAACGCATTGCGGGCCTTGAAACCAGATTATCGGACCTTGATATTATTACTAAATCGATTATCCAGGAAGAACTCGCTCATACCCAACAGCAGCTCATTGAAGATTTCAAGGGGAACATTAATAACATGGTAGATACCAGACACAAGGAATGGGAAGAAAGGAAATCTAGGGATGAAAACATTATCCTATTCTGTGTCCCGGAAACCCCCAGATCCAAACCCCATCAATAACAAGTCCCCTAGACGAAAAGGACATACGTGCATTGACCCATACATTAGGAGTCCATCCGATATGTATTCTTGCACACTTCTGTATGGAAAGACCTAAGGCTGATTCAATCAGGTCACTAGTTGCTGTTCTAGACAGCAAACAGCAAAGAAAACTCCTGCTCGAAAATGCCCGTTCCATAAAAGATAAGGCCACAAACTCAAGAACGTAATACTTACTAAAGATTTGATAAAACAGCAAAGAGAAGAAAAGTAACAACGACAGGAGAATAGAAGGCCCAACCCACAACAGATACTTCCCTCATCCAGTCTTGAGACTAAATTCACAAACAATACTTCAGACAAGACAAAGAATATACGGGAAGGAATGACCTCAAGTTGCCGAGTCTCAAAAACAGCTTCAAGTACCGGAGGAAAACAATTTGTCAACAAAACAAGAGTCCTACCAACAGCTACATGTACCAGCTTTACATACGCGCCACTCCAAAGTATGGAACAGATAGTCCAATTTCGTCAATGGAACAAGTTCCAACACCCCAACGTGTGTCTTTCAACCCGTATCTAGAGAACACCAAGATCTCGGCTGTAGAGGACGAACCAATTTATAGCACAGACTTGTTCGCAGACCTGAACGGAACAATGATCAACGATATACCAACTAGGTCACATGAACTTACCAGATACAAGGCAGAAGGTTTTACCAGTTTTAATGACATTGGTGATTCCTCTAAAATTTCAGTGGATAAACTTAAAATTTACTATTCTAATGTAGACACACTGACCAAAACAAAGAAATCGGAACTTGAACTCTATGTAGAAAGTAGCCATCCAGATGTGATATGTCTAACAGAAATTTTACCAAAAAGAAAACAGGTGTGCTCATATATGTAACCGCCATTATTGATTGAGACTCTCTACAGCAAACAGGACCCTTTAAAGTACAAGAATCCTGTATACTAAACCTAAAGGATAGGGAAAAACTATCTATTGTATCTACAGAAGCCCAAACAGCTCGGCAGAAAATAACAACCACCTTCACCAAGTCTTAGAAAAACGTATGTCACCTACTAATTCTCTAATCTTAGGGGAGTTTAACTATAAAAAGATAAACTGGAACCAGTACACAACCAGCGTTAGTGAGTCACATCCAGCAACACTTTTTTTCAGAGTGTATTAGGGACAACTTCCTGTACCAACACGTCACAGAAACTAATTGATACAGAGAAGGACAAACACAATCAACATTGGATCTAATCCTTTCTAATGAAGAGGGAACGGTTGAACATTTGAAATATTATAATGGACTAGAGAAAAGCGATCACTTGTACTGACTTTCGACTTTATCTGTTACAGTCAAATTCCACGAGTAGAACAAATTCGGGCACCCGAGAAACATAATTTCTACAGAGGAGACTACCAAGAAATCAACGAGGACCTCAAACAAATGGAGGCTTAAGGAGGCTTGGGAGGAATTTTCTGTAACTATCAATAAGGAAATAGAGAAGCGTGTACCAGTGAGGAATAACTCTCGATCCCTCCCAACAAGGTAAATCAACGTCAAAGCTTCAAGAGACTCTATTAAGAAAAAAGGTCAACTTTGGCAAATCCATCTTCACTTAAAACATCAGAAAACTTCAGAAAATACAAGCCTGCGTGTAATAGAAGCGTCCATCTAATTAAAAGGTCAAAATAAACTTTTGAAAAGGATTTGGCGGACAACATTAAAACAAACCCAAAACCGTTCTGGAAATATGTTCGAACTAAAACAAAAACAGTCACGTCAATCACAAGAAACAAAAATGATAAAGGAGAAATGACCAACTGAGACTTAGAGACGGCCAACGTTATGAATATGTTCTTTGCTATTGTTTTTGTTGACGACAACGAAGAAATTTTGCGTTTGAGGAAGGACCTTTCGAAAGCGTGCTTACCGACATATCAGTGACCTTTCAGTGACAGAAAATCTTGCGTAAGCAATAACTAGGAAAATTAGTCCAAACAAATCTCCTGGCCCGGATACCATCCATCCAAATTTCATCTAAAAAAAAAGAATCGCTAATGGAACCTCTGACCATCATCTTTAACAGGTCCATTCAAGAAGGAACCCTACCAGATTCGTGGAAACAGGCTCATGTCTCACCAATATTCAAGAAAGACTTTCAGGAAATTGAAGACCTATCGGTTTGACGTCGGTTTCCTGTAAGATCTTTCAACGTATAGTCCGAGATGCTATCTTAAAACAAATGGACAAGAACTATCTCTTCATCCCCCACCAACACGGTTTCAGAAGTGGCCGCACCTGTATCACTCAACTACTAGAGGTCATTAAAGATTGGACACAGGCAATAGATGATGGGAACAATGTGGACATCATATTCCTCGACTTCAGCAAAGCTTTTGACAAAGTGTCGCACCGCTTGCTACAATACAAACTAAATTAATATGAAATCAGAGGTAAAATTCTGGCATGGAAAATGGAGTTCTAAAAAGATATGACCCAACGAGTCACAATCAACGGAGCAAAATCTTCAGGTTCCCAGTCACAAATGGAGTTCCCCAGACAAACGTCCTTGGCCCTATACTACTCTTGATCTACGTCAATGACTTGCCTGAACTTCTCAGCTGTATAACCAAATTATTTGCGGACGATACCAAACTCTACTCAAAAGCTTGTACAGAATTGGAAAGAAAGCAACTCCAGATAAACATCAACAAAATTAGAATTTAGACCGAGAGCTGGCTAATGAAGCTAAACACCAAGGAGTGTGAACATATGGGGATTAGTAATAACCCCAAATCACCGAAGTACCATTTGACGTAAGATGGACAAACAACTGAAATAGAGACAGTAGTCACAGAAAAGGACCTTAGAATTCACTAACACCTTAAAATTCTCAACCAAAGTCAATGCAGCAGTGTAGAAAGCTAACCAAATGCTAGGTTTTCTGTTTAGAACTTTCGTTTCTATGGGCATAGCTCTTTTTACAACCATGTACAAGTCCCTAATCCGTCCACATCTGGAATACGCTACGCAAGTGTGGTAACCGTCTCTAAACAAGGACAAAATAGTCATCGAAAATGTCCAACGAAGAGCCACTAAAAGGGTAACAGAAATACATGCCCTACCATGAACGCCTAAGAACATTAGGTCTTCCATCTCTTGGATATAGGCGTGAGAGGGCAGATGTGGTTGAGCTGTACAAAATATTAAACGGGATCGACCAGTAAGACTACGAGCTGATG